GACTATGATAGGGATATAATATCTCCTTTGTATTTGGATCTCAATGTAGTTCTCCTCTTTGTGTTGGACTGACTTATTGAATTTTGCAGGTTGAGTGGGCAGCATTTGATGGGACAAAGAAGGGAAGATAGGTGGAGGTGCTTGCTGGACTATGGTTTTTACTGTATGTTGTTTTGACATTATATTATTGAGATTAGCCAAGATGAAATCAGAAATTGACATGCTTCGTTTTCAAAAGCAAACTATTTGTCTTCTTTAACGCTTCTTATATATCTCCTTTTTTTCCTTCTAGACATTAAATCTCCTATTATAATGAGCACAGAGCAATTTGATCATGAGTTTGAGATAGAGTTTCCAATTTTTTTTTCTAACCTTCTTTTAGGTCCTGTTTTCTTTAGTTCCTTTGTTCTTTTTGGAATGTAAAAGATGCCGAGGGCATGATGAGAGATTTAGCAAAGAAATTAATGGGTGGCTCATGGATATGTATCAAGGATTCTATGTGATTGTGATTTGTGATTGTGCTATTGGATTCAAGGATGGATACAAAGAATGGGTGAGTTTTGGAATCAACCGTAATTGCAAGTTTTCAGAGGAACAAAAGTTAATTGGTTCTCAATTTTTTAAAATTCATGATAATTTGATTGTTGAATTCACCCTGCTCCTTGAGGCATGGCTGCTTTACCGTACTTCGATGAAATCAATCCTTTAACAATTTATGTCCTTCTCATTACCTAGAATGTTTTTCCTCCCTTTCTTTTTTGGTTTTTGCTTACTTATTTATGAAATCAATTTTTTTAAATCAGTTTTGGGGCTTTTGCAGAGGAGACCAAAAGAGATGGCTATAAGGAAAACTGATTTTCCTTATAGATTGTCCTAGATAATCAATCAAATCAGATTACGAAGCAAAAACAGGAGAAAGAAACTAATCCAATAGAAAACACATAAAAAAAGCATAATCAAGGCATGTTTCAGATCCAAAATCATATGGAAACCATTTCAGCACTGTGTTGAAACCTTCCAAAACAATCAAAATTTGATTCACTTGAATCATATTAGCTAATCAAATTAGAAATAAGGTAATGAAATTTTATCAAAGGCATCACAATACTTCGCCTAATGAAGACAGCCAAAAGCACATCATATCAATTCTGAGTTGTCACAAACCAAAGGCGTCAAAGTTGATGCTGATAATATAAGAAATTCCTTCCTTCCTTTTTTTTTTTTTCAATAGGATCAAAAATCTATTCATTTGCATCCAAAAATATTGCAAAAGTATAAAATGCAATTTCATGTACTGGGATAACATAAACAATGTGTATATCATAGCTTAAATGTTCTCAACACTGTGTCCATATTATGATAAGTACGCAAAATCAGCGAAAACACTCACTCAGCATCCCTGGTTGTTTCAAGCCAACCACTAAGTTAATAAAGGGGCATTCTTGGGCATTTAAACCACTAAGTTAGTGAACATGTGTTTGGCTTCCAAGAAAAGGTAAGAAATCAAAACAAAGGAGAAGCACGAACCTTATAATAGAAACAGGGAAGAAAACACAAGAACAAATAAAAAAGCAATACATCCCAACCACTGTGCAAGTGCATAATAAACCTGCATTGCTCAATTACGTGAATCTTCCATTTCCAAACAACAAACAAACGCTCAACAATCAAATTTTAGTTTTCTTTTCTTGGCAAAACCCACAGATTGCCCTTCAACTTTTTGAGTGTGTAGAACTTTACCCCTCACCTTACAATATGTGATTTTATACCCTCATGATATTCGGATTTATGATTTTATGCTCTCATGATATTCAAGTTTATAATGTTATACCCTTCTAAAATTGTAAAATGAGGGGTAAAGTTCCATACACTTGAATACCAAAAAGGTATAAAACATATTAGAAGGGTATAAAATCACATATTATAAGGTGAAGGATAAAGTTATATACACTCAAAAAGTTGAAGGGCAATCTGTTGGGTTTTGCCTTCTTTTTTTTCCCATACTTTTCTATGCAACCAATCTAAATTCTTATTAAGAGCATGTTTGGGATTTAAAAGTTGTTTTTAAAGATAAAAAAAAAAAGTAAAAAGAGAATTTATGAAAATTTTGAATTTGAGTTTGAAGGCTTTTTAAGATTAAAAAAAATTTAAAATATAAATTTTTAAGAAAAAAATTTAAATTCATGAAATATAAATAATATCAAAAAAATAAAGCATTTAAAGCTGAAGCAAACATGCTCTTAGTTTCAACCCCAAAAGAAAAACATTAACTTACAGCTTAGTTTAAAGTAACCCTGCATTCCAGAAATCGAATCATTTCTACTTTAAAACACCACCTTCAAATACCTAATTCCTACTTGTCAAATTACAAAACCAAAAATACCCTTCGGAAAAAGAAAAGCCTAAATTTTGCAACTTGACATTGAAACTAGAGACCAAAGAAAACCCAAATTCACAGCATAAAAACCATGTAAAGCAGGAAGAACATCAACAAATTAGAAAATTGAAAACCACTCAAAATTATAAACAAAACTTAAAAGCCACTTAAACATTCTCATTCCTTTGCACCAATTCTAAATAGACCAAAAAGGAAATCAACTGGATTAGGGAAAACGAAGAAACCCAAAAAGAAGAATGTGAAATTCACCTGTAGAGTCGACTTTAATTCCGGCAAGGTTAGTGGCCGGATTTCCTCCTCCATTGTCTCCACCCTTCTGCCTTCTTGTCGGCCGTGATCCCTAGCCAACCCGATCGACAATAATTTAAAGAAATTATTAACAAATCCCTGAAAAACCTTTATTAATTCAATTTAAGATTAAATCTCAAGAGCTGTAGCACTTGGGAAAAACTCACGATCAATATTTTGTGCAAGATGGTAGACATCTCACCCTACACTCAAGTATGATGCTTTTTATTTTATTTTATTTTATTTTTGGCATTTATAGTTAGGATAATTTTAAATCTATTTTTACTTATCTTGAAATTAATCAAATAATTAAATTAATTAAAAACTTAATACTATAAACACAAATAATAGAACAGTCTTTCTCACACAACCAAATAAGCATTAAACACAATAAAAGTAAATAATAAAAAATAAATAATTTAAATAATAAATGTTCTTGTTAATTAAATATTTTACATTTGTAAAACACTTCCATAAGGTTAACTTTGTAAAACATTTTGACAAAGTAAAGAGTGAAAACTAGTTGAATATTTCTTTACAAATTATGAAAATAGTTGATAAGCCTAAAATTTATACAATTTTTACATTCTTTAATCTTAAATTTTAATTTATTTTTTTTTTGAGTTGTTTGAGTTTTATTTTATTTTATTTTACATATGTTTAATTATTTTTGTGTACATAAGGACTAAATTGTAAGCAATTGAAATATTTAAGACTAACAGAAAAAATCAGGACTATGAAGATCAAAGTGTTAACTTGTTAAAAGATCAGGGAACCAAACGGTTTTACCAATGAAAAATCAAAATTTGCATCAGAAGCACAGTGACGGTGTCGGCACCTTTAGGGTGTCAACGCCTTTGAACAATAATTTAGGGCACCATTTTGAACATTGTAGGATTTTTTTTTCTTTGACATGGAATTGGACAATATGAGATAACTTTTTTACGTACCTTAATCTACTCCACCTATATATCATAAAATTTAAATTTAAAATCTCTTACTTTTAATAAAAAAAATTTATTATTTAATTATTTAAATCATTAACAAATATTATAGGACCTAAATTGGGGGTTTTGGATCTTTTCCGAAAAGTCTACAACTGCAAAGGATTCTGCCAATTCTTTCCAAAATTTCTTCAACCAGATCTTTTCAAATTCTTCTAAGTCTATGTAATTAAGTGATAAAAAATCAAAGATATCATATGAGTTATGCAAATTTGACAAGAATTGGGAGGAAAGCATGCATGGTTCTAACTCAGACTGCTTGTTGAGTACTAACAACAGGGCAGAATTTAGAAGTGGAACCCACACTAGAACATGACAACCCCTAATTAAGTGTTGATAACTAAAGCAATAGTTTTCCTAAAAAAAAAAAAAAAAAAAAAAAACCTAAAGCAATAGTCAATAGACCGTTCCCTTGGAATTGGTTTTTTCTTTCACTTCTGGTTTGGGTAAGGTTCCCAATCTTATATTGGAATTTCAATTCAATCCCCCAAACAATTTTTTTCAAGCTAATTGAGTTTAAAACCTTTTAATTTTTTTTCACCAAAGTCCTTTATGTGTATTAAATTAGATAA